TTTTTTTAAAATAGTGTTTGCGTTTGCAAAAAACAATAGTTTGATGTCAGTTTTCTTTTCAAAATAAATGACCGCCACTAAGAAGGAATTGGTACCGAAGAACTAATCGTGAAACTGAAAATAACTGGATTTGAGGTTAGACTGGGAACCACAAAATTCGTTAATTTGATTACAGGCAAATTTAAAAGCACAACAAAGGATACATCGGGTATCGTGCAACACTTTCTTAGTGCTAAAACTGCCGATGTCGCTTTTTGGTTCAGCTGGTGCAGTTCACGTAGCTGCTGGTGGTCATTAGCAGTCTCGGTTCACCGTAGTCGGTCGTTAGTGGTTCTTCTGTAAGCGGCCCAATGACACTGACAATGGCATCCTCGGTCTGATGGTGCATTAGCTTCTGTACCACATTAGCGCTAATTAGATAATATACAGTCAACTCAACTCAACTCGATATCGCAGTGATATCACACGACCGACCCTCAATATCCATCGCCCCATCGATAATGTGGCACGCGCGGGCACTGACTGCGGTTGAGGCACCAGTCTGCATACTGACAACTTTCAAGTTTCAAATGACTGCTTCACAAGCAAAATACTTTGCCTTGTAAAAGTTTCTCCTCAAAGGCTTCATTAGAGCAAAAAGCAAAAAAATGCAGCCTGTTCTCTTGCTTCTTTGTACCTACTTTTTCTACTTTTTAGTTTTTTTCCATTTTTACTACAAACGCTTCCAGCGGCAGTTTAGCTCATACAGTTCATGCAGTTCTGGGTCGGTGCTTTGGCACAGTACATGCACACACACACGCAGACAGTGGCAGAAGACAGTAAATTAATTAGCGATTCAGTGTCAGGGTGCCATTAGTGAGCGCCAGATGATGATGATCACCTCGCTGAAACGAAGACGAGAAAGGTGAGAAAAGAGAGTTCAAAGAACAGCCTAGTCGACGATGCTTAGCAAATTCTCCTGCAGCGAGGGGTTAATTCAGCTGCTGATGTAAATTGTTTCAAACAGCGACAATGTGTTCCTTTTATTGCAGTGCACCACTGCGCTGATGCCGTCCTTACTTACCCAAAGTGTTTTTACAGTGGTGATAATGATACGTGTGAAGGCAGTACAATCACACGGCTCTATCTAATGTCATACCCTTCTTCTTCTTTTTGCAGGCAATTTAGTCACCAGAATCTTGTTAGCCAGGTAAAGTATGCACCTTTTTCACTGATTGCATAGCAGCAGAGAAAGTTTTGGCAGCAGAAGGGATGAACAAGTGTTAACGAACTCTTTCAGAGAAGCGGACTACGGGAGGTCACACAGACTGCCTGTTTATTAAAGGTCATTGCAATGACGATAGCAATAAGCATATTCTGACTAGTGTTAGTAATAAAAAACTGCTAAAGGGTTATTACAGTGTATACACTTAACAGAGAAAGGAGAACAACAGCAAATACTTAGGTGGTCAGTGAGAGAGTGATTTCTCCCTCTGCTCTTTTTATTATTGTGCTGATAATATAATAGACATCAAATAAGAAAATAGTGGCATCAATGTGTGTGTGAATGAGAGTGTTGTGTGTGGAGGTGGCAACAAAGGAGCAAGAAAGTTGTGGTAGTCGTGCTATTCTTCATTGCTGATTGCAAGTTGAGTGAGAGAGTTCATTGCGTGTCATTGCATTTAACAGTCATCTCCATTTGATGAAGTGTGAATGTGGTGTGTCTGTATGTATGTTGTGTGTGGTACCCAGATAAATGGCGGCAACCGTGCAAACGATCCAAACAGATGAGAATGTGTTTGAAGTGGGTGTGTATGCTGTAGTAGCTACTAAATCACAATTATTGGTGCAACAGCTCTGCTCGGAGCTGGCCAGCAAGCAAAATGAACAGCAGATGAACAGGTGTCACGGTAATGGTAATGGCTGATGCACACTGGTAGTCGTTTTTTGTAGTGGGCATTTGGGCGGTCTAATGATGGCCGCAAATGATGCTCACAATTGAGAGTCCAGTGAGTGAGAATGAGAGAGGAGATGGCGGTATGAAGGAGATGAGGGAGATGAGGGAGACTAGTGGCGACAAACTGTGTGGTGAGGATGATCAGCACATTGCAAAATTTTTAAAGCAGAAAAGGTGATCATCAAAAAAAGACCAGCAGCTCGTCAGGTTGTGTTGATCATTGATAACTGTCTTGTGGTGTGTGTGGGGTGGTGAATATCATAAGTTAATTCATCGAATAGAGAATATCAGGGCACAGGTGGCAAAGTTTTGGTGGTGGTGGTCCTACTGTGAATAATGATGATAAGGTTGCTCAATCAGGGGTGTGTTCAAGTATCAGCTAGTAGTGACAATGATAATAATGCTGATCAGGAAGTGTGACAGAAGAATTCGGTGCAAAGATATAATAAGTTAGGGTAGCAAAGCAAAGTGGGAAAATAAAGGAATGAAAGAGAAAGAGAGAAAAACAATAATGTCACAGTAAGAAGGGGTGAGCAGGAGGAGGAGGAGGAGGAGGTGGAGACACGGGAGAATGGTAAACTAAGAAATAAAAAAATCCTAAAAACTATAAAAAATCAGAAACAAAAGAGTACACAGGATTGCTTTGGCAAAAATAAAGAGTGAACCGGCATGGAAGTAGAGTGGGCGCGTGAGTGAATAAATGAGTGTGTGGGCCTGTTAGGGGACAACACCTTTTTGTTTGTGACAAGGAACTACCGGCCAAGGAATGACGGCGATCAAAAGAAAGTGGTCAGATCATGGGAAGGGAGAGGGAAAAACACAGCTAAGTGGGGAGAGAAGTGGGAGTCAACTCACTGGGGAGTGTGGTGTAAGTGCAACACTTGCGACTACTGCTAGTGCCACCACCGACTGCGACTACAACTGCTGATGTGCGGAGGCCGCCGACTCGGCAGCGGCAAGCCCATCAAAGAAGCCCAGCTTCTTGAGCACCGCCGTCGTGCTGGAGATCAGTGGGTCCTTATACTTGAAGATGGTGGTGTCGCGCGTCGTGTAGGTGCGAAACTCCTTGCAGCTCTTCTTCAGCGGCCCGACGCAGTCCTTGCGGTAGTGCTGCAGGTGGGCCAGCTCCACCGGAATGGAGTAAGTAGTGCAGGTGCCGAAGCAGTTCAGCGGAAAGTGATTGTGCAGCGAGACGGCGCGTTCAGTGTTGTGGAAGCACTTCACGTACTGCCCCGGTTTGGTGTAGTTCTGCGAGCGGTAGACGTGCTGCAGCATGTGCAGGTACCGGGGAATGCCCGCCTCGTGCGCCATGTGCGCCAGCTGCTCCTCGCCCAGGCCGAGGTCGTCGAGGAAGTAGACGTTCCGTACATTGTAGCTCGCTCGGGTGTAGTTCTTCTCCAGCAGCGACAGCCGCTGCACCTCCGCCATCAGCTCCGACCAGTTGGCCTGTCCGCCCAGCGGCATGATGATCTCATCAATGTCCAACAGGGCAATGTACTCGAAACGGTACAGATTTCGGTACAAACAGTCGTTGTAGGGAATGAGCTCATTCTGCCGCTTGTTGGTCAGTTTGTTTTTCAGGTAAAGGTGCCGAAAGCCGGGCAGGTTGGGCTGATTGCCTGGCAGGGTGATCTTCGTCAGCTCGACAATGCCGTCCTGTTGGTAGTGCTGCAGCACTTTGCTGATGTTTGGGTGAATCTCCAGCTCGTAGAGGAAGATTTTATTGGCGCCCAGCAGGCGCAGCAGCTCAATCCACTCCACCAGACGGACACTGAGGTCCTCGTGGAGAAAGTCGAGCCCCTTGACGCACACGGCAAACTGCTGTTTCACCGGAGGGCGGTCATTGAGGATGCGCAAGTTGTTGGTCGCCTTGTGGCAGCGGTTTTCTACCAGCGACACCGACGTGGGGTAGAAGTCCTTGGGCAGGCCCTTGATGCGCGGAATCTTACAGGTAACAATGTACGGCTGGAGGAAGCCGTCGTGGTAGTTGCCCCACTTGTTGTACCACCCGTAGATGTAAGTGGCCTGAGAGATGATGGGCACGCTGATGCGGTCGAACCAGATCTGACAAAGGGCGGGCGGCGGAGAGACGCGGTCAATCATGGCGAGGATGCGCACCATGGGCAGCGGTCCGCCTCGCCACCGGTCGTCGTAGTAGGCGCCATACAGGTAGAAGGAACTGTTGGCAGTGTTGAACTTCTGCCAGTAGATGTTGTTGAACTCCAGCTCGTACAGGCTGGGAAAGTCCACTCGACAGGATTTGTTGGTGGCGCCTGCCTTTGCCTTCGGGTACTTCTTCGCCTTCTGCCANTGGGCAGCGGTCCGCCTCGCCACCGGTCGTCGTAGTAGGCGCCATACAGGTAGAAGGAACTGTTGGCAGTGTTGAACTTCTGCCAGTAGATGTTGTTGAACTCCAGCTCGTACAGGCTGGGAAAGTCCACTCGACAGGATTTGTTGGTGGCGCCTGCCTTTGCCTTCGGGTACTTCTTCGCCTTCTGCCAGTAGTTAAGCGCCAAGTGGGGCTCCTGCTGCTCAAGCTCATTCAACTGCTGGACCTCACTGAGCGAAGGCGAGTGGTCGACGTGAGGGGCAATGTCAAAGTACTGTGATATGTCCTCCGAGGAAGGCTGGTGCTGATGCTGCACAGACTGCACAACTGTTGGAACAGCAACAGGAACAGCTCCTCCTTCCTTGCTGAGATTGCTGATGAGGGCACTGGTGGGAGGAACAACTGCTGCAGAGGGCGAGGCAGGGGGCACAGCTGATGACTGCACCGCCGCCGATGCCTGTTGGACCACAGAGTTGGTCGATTGCACTGCAGTTGCTGCCGCTGCTGCTGCTGCCGCTGTTCTCGTTTTGTTATCTGCAGAACCGTTGATCGATGCTGCAGCAGCCGCCGATGTGGAAGTGAGCAGCTGTGGCGAGGCAGCAGAAGGCAACAGGGACTGCTGTTGCTCTAGCGGTGACTTCTGCAACAGGCCTCGAAAACTCATGTAACCACCTAAATTTTTAACAAGGATAACATGCAGTTAGTCAACAAAGTTTTGTTTCATGTATTTAAATATTTAAATGAAGCGGTTCATCAAACTCACCTGATGCTGTGGCGGTAGTGTGTCCGCCGCCGCTGCCATCGAGTGCAACGAGCGTCTCGAGAGGCACATGAACTCGTTGATAGCTAATTGCGAGGTGCAGCGCAAGGAAGCACAGAAAGCTGGATGCAAAGGCTAAGTAGATTAGCCGTTTGTAGGCTCGAACAGGTAACTTGATTTGTATCATTTTGTTGTTTCGGTGTCAGTGCACGCAAGTGTGCTGCTGCTCTGACCGGCCTGAGACTGACAAGTTTGTGAGTGAACTGGCACTAGTTGATTCACTAGTGCACTGATGGGGATAATGATGCGGGGGCAAATGACCGACAGAATTTGGTGGCAGTAGTAGTAGTGTTGATGCTGTTCTTGCCAAGTTCAAAGGAAGATTTGACTACAACGACTGAAGCAGACCTCTGAATCCGAATGACTCGAGAATCGCGCCTGCTGCTCAANTGTTCTTGCCAAGTTCAAAGGAAGATTTGACGACAACGACTGAAGCAGACCTCTGAATCCGAATGACTCGAGAATCGCGCCTGCTGCTCAAATGCTGGTCTTTTTTCTCTGTTTTCCTTTGAAAAGTTGTCGTAACGTTGCTGTTTTGTGCTTGTTCTCCTGCACAATGATTAATCGTTGCAAAAGTGCAGTCCAAACAACACAGTTGAAAAAGAGGGTGCTGTTGTTGCTGGCAAACTATTGACAAAAGCGACTATTATTATTCGGTGTTGTGCACTCAAAGCTGCGACAAAAGAAGTAGAGAGAGGACAGTGGCGGTGGTAGCAGTGGTGGTGGTGATGGTGGTCCTCTTCGTCGTCGTACCATTTCACGACTGAGGTCGGCGTTATCTGTGGCACCGTGCTGATATTGCTCTCTCAGGCGCCCTGCACTGTGCACCACTGTCCATATTCTCAGCTACGGCTGTCAAGGGATGCACGGAGGACGGTGCTGCTACTGCTGATGATGCGCACTCCGCTTAGGAGGTGGGAAGTAGGTGATCCACAAGCAGATTGGCTGAGCCCACTCAGGCCGCCCCAGTGGAAACAGTGGTCCGCAAGAGCTCAACCTGCGCGATTCGTCGCAACAGCGCTCCAATCTA